AATTATATAATTGATAAAATGAAAATAATTTCTAATAAATTTCAACATTTTTTATTTTTTATTTTTGTTTGTTAAAAAATTTAATTAATAATTCTAAATATGTCTAAAATTATTAATAATAATTAATAATTATTATATCTAAAAAAATATAATTATTACGTCTACGAATGAAATCTCTCAATAAAATGAATTTTAAAATGATGAAATATCTGTTCATTATGTATTCAATATTTCATGTTCAATTCATATATTATACAATTTTTTATTCTAAAAGTAAAAATATATTTATAATTTTTGTAAAAAAGATTAAAAATGTTATATTAATATTATCATAATTTAAAAATTTAATATGATTTTACCTTTTATCGGATGATTCTATTTGTACAGAAGTAAAACCTAATGAATGAAGATATTGTTATATTCAGATAACATTAAACTGCATAATTCCTTATGCCATCTAATAATATCTGTTTGGTCATCTTGGCTTTTTTGTATTTGCTGAGATAATTGTTGATATATATTAATTTCTGCGTTTAAAGTTGATTGCGTTGTAAGGGAATGATCTCTTGTAGCAGCAGATTGTAAACGCCATGAAGGTAAAAATAATAACGGCGTGTGACAAAAATGTATTAAACGAGAATATTGTTTGAAAGTATTTAAAGCAGTAATTGAAATTGGAATGTTTGGGGTAGCACTACGATTTTGCCACATTGTATATAATTTATTCAAATCTTCTGAAAATTAAGAGAAATAATATTATGAGTATAATTTTTATATATAAAATATAATTAAATAAATATATAAAATATATATAAATTTTTATATTATAAAATTTATCATATTAAATTACCACTATCACATTTTATTATAGTTTATTATAGATTACAAAGATGACGATTTTTCCCAATAGAAATTAAATCTATTTAATTAATTATTTCTTTTTTACATAAAAAAAAATATATTCTATTACATAATACAATTTTAAAATTAATAAAGACAAATAAATAAATGAATCAAGAGTATAAACAAGAGAAATAATAGTACAATACAATAATTTATTAAAACAATTTTTGTTCCTTATTATACAATGTATAATATATGTACAACATATATAAAGGAGACAAATTTTAGTATATTAGATTTAAAATCAAGATTGCAAAATCGAAGTAATAGATTACTTCTCTAAAAGTCACATTATCTTTATTTTTATTACTATTTATTGTGATAATGTGATTAGATTTAATTAAGCATTATATTTCATGTAAAAATTCGCCGAAAAAATTGAGCGGTTTTAATGATAAAGAGCGTTTTCATCCGGCAACTTTGTTTACAAAAACAAATCATAACTAACTATCAATTTGTCATCTCTATTCTATAAAATTTGTTATATTTTAAATTACTAAACTAATATCAATTAATTTCAATTAAATACTATTTCTAAATGAAGAGAATCAAAATGAAAAATAATAATATAATAAATAATATAAAATCAAATTTCATTTTTTATTTACCTTTTATTTTTTTTTCGCGAGATCGTAAGTCTTGCAAATCGCAAACTGCCTTCACTGTTGGATCTATACTGCTATGAAAAATGTTATTAGGTTTTACATCACGCATTGTTTGACCAATTACTTCGTTCCACGAAAACTGATTATGCTTTATGTTTTGTGATCTAGTATTCAATTTCGACCAATCTTTCCCATCATTATATGATACAGCAGAAAATTTTGTAAGACTTTCCATATCCATAATTTGAAGATATTGTGAATTAGCATGTTCTCTTGAAAAACTTGGTCGATGATAAAATATTCCTAATTTTTGCATTATTACATTTGTAAAAAAATTTGACCTTGATGAAAGCCATGTACCCAAATTCGTGGCTTGTTTTATTAATTTTTCAGACTTCTCTTTCGACCAATTATACATGTAAAGAGTAATCTAGAATAAAATTTTATTTTAAATTAATGAAAAAAAAAAAGAATTGATTTTTTATTTATTGATATTCTATCAATATGATGGATTTGTAATTACAAAATCTGATTTAATATATTATATATAGTGTTAATATAATATATATATATATGCGATTTTAAACAAGATATCGATACAAACATATATAGATTGCCAATTTAATATTCGCTATATTTAAAGAAATATATCTAATATTTTATATATGTTATATCTGTTATTATCATCAATGAAATTTCCAGATTTTTAAATTATTTTTCCAATTATTATTTTAACAATATATAAAATTTCTAATCCCTGATATATGTATATATTTTAAATAAATATCATATATATATTTTATTGAAATCTTTATTAATAAATATATTCATTGTTTTATTATAAATAGTACAATATTAAAGACCAAAAACGGACGTATTGATTAATATTAACTATTTGAAAAATAATTTTGAAAATTATGTACAAAATTAAATATATATGTCTTTCAAATAAAATGTCCTCAAACAAGTATATTTTTTTTTAATAATAAACATATAACATAATTATTTTTAAATCTATTAAGATCTTTTTAATGAAATTTTGCAAAAAATATCATTATTATAATTTCATATTTTAAATAAATATTAATGGATTAAAATTATGCGCAGTTTAATGAAATCTTAGGATACACATATATACATATCACAAGAAATTTTTGAATTGTTTAAAATAAAAATATAAAATTAATTCTTTTTGTTCTAATCTGGCATATCTCAGAATAATTATAAATAATAAAAATATATATTATAAATAAAATAATTAAGTAAATATAATAGAATTTTGATTAAATTTAATTTGCGATCATCCAGAATTTCAGTCATCTATAGTATTATTGGTTATCACGAATCTCGATTTATTTTGTCTTTTGTTTTATCAACATATTAATAATATGAATACATTTTAAAAACTTTTTGAAAATTATTCGGGAAATATTTTTTGTTAGAACAAAGTGATAATAATTTTTATTTTTAATGCAATATTCATTAACAAATATAATTTTCAAGAATAATTTTTGAAAGTTTTATTCTTAAATGTATTCACATCCTTTTAAACTTTTATTTGTATAATTATTTTATTCCTATTAGATTTTTTTTCATTTTTTGAGATTAGTAATTGTTAGATGATCATTATAATTAAATTACATATTAAGTTTAATTATAAATAAATATTCAAAATATAAAAATAAATTGCAGAAAAAAATAATTTATACAAAAAAATATTTTTAATTATTTTATCCCAGTTTTTGATTATCCAATAAACGATTCATCCAGACATATTGTTTCATAGTTAAACTGATTAATTGGAATCCTACTATAATTATAAAAAATTTCATATGAATATATGAATAATATTATGCATAAATATTTAAAATTTTTAAAAATTCATGCATTTTTTATATTTTCTAAATTAAAATAAGATAAAACAAATAGTGATAATAGTAACTTTTGAAAAAAAAGTTATGAAATTATATTAAAAAATATTAATAAACAGTCTTAAATAAATATCAAAATATATAATATAAAATAATATAATATTATAATATAATATTTTTTTAATAACAATATATATATATATACTTATAAATATATATAAGTTATTATAATATATATAAGTTTATTATATATATATATATATATAAGTTCATTTTATAATGAGTCTATAATGAATAAAATAAATAATGGTAAAATAAAATAAATAAAATAAATATTGGATCTAATTCCGAATTTCAATTTTTTCATTTTTTTATCCAAGTCATTTATTCTTGTATCTTTAATAAATAATTCGTTTTATATTATATTAATTATTATTCATTTATATTAAAAATATATTAATTATTATAATATTATTATTAAATTTTAAATGTCTCATTTTATAGTAATTTTAATAGTAATTTTTCATATAAATATTTATTATAAATGTTTTCTCATATGAACATTTCGTTATGTGAACGTTTTATTATACAAATAACATTTTCTTTATAATATTTAAATATATAAAATATTTATTTCCTTTGTTTCATCCATTTTTTTTTGTAATATAAAATGTATTTCTTAAACAATGACAACAATAACGAAGATATAATCTCATTTCAAAGCATTTACAGTTTTAAGTGTTCAGATGATATGAACTATAGAATTCATACTTAGAAAAAGTTATATAATTAAATAATCCAAAAATGTCTTGAATCCATAACATTGATTTTTTTAATTTATTAAAAAAAAGAATTGATTAATATTGTTTTTTAATTTTATATTATATGTATAAAATTATTTATAAATAAAATCTATTTATTTTGTTTCATTTTCTAAATAAAATATTTTATTTTTCAATTATATCCTATAACGAAGATTTTATTCTATTCACTATAAAAGAAATATAATAATTTTGATCATATATTGTCATATGTTATTACTTTATCATATATAGTCAAAAACATTTTCTTAAAAAATCTCTAAGAAGTTTTAATTACTTTATTGTTTAAAAATTATTAATTACTAAAAATGTGATATACGAGAGAAAAGCCAATTTGCAATAAAATTATTATATATTGTAATAATTGGTTATTATTTAATATTTATTTAGAATTTCAATAGATAGAAAAGCCTGCCTTTGTTTTTCCTGTATTCTCGTCTTAAAATGACTTAATCTGACTTAATTTATTTTTATATTAAATCAAATCTATCTTGAATTTAAATCAAAGCTAAATTTAATAGAATTATTTATTTATTTATTATTTTATAAACTATAGAGATATATCTATGTCTATATATTTCATAGATCTATATATTTTAAGTATTTATTTATTAACAAATATAATTTTATTTTAATAATAATTTTTATACCACTTAATAAATTATATTTAAAATATATTTATTTAATAGATAATAAATTTATTGACTATTATTTTGATTCAATTAAATGAATAATTTTGAAAAACTTATATATATTCATATTCAATATAATTTGCATAATTATACTATTATTTAAAAATAAATTCGATCAAATAATGCGAATAATGATTTTCATATGTATCAAAATTTCATTTCATATTCATAAATATATATATATATATATATATATGTGTGTGTGTGTGTGTGTATATCGTGTAAATAAATATACAGAATGTCAGTAATTAGTGGAAAACTGATAATTTTATATCAAAAAATAAAATAAAATATAAACTATATAATTAAAAAAAAAATATAAAATAAAATTTTTCTATATAAAACTTCATTTTGAATAAAATAAATTGACTTTAAAAAAATTGTCGAATGCACGTGTATGTAATTATATCTTGACTAAGATATCTATTAATAAATTAATGTTAGCGATATGTTAGGTCAAGACAGCGAAATGCTATTCGGCGAATGTTTAATACCGATTTTCTTAAAAAAAAACACCATATAAAAAAATTTTATTCTATATTTTCGATTTATTTCTTGATATAAAATCATTTCTTTTCAAATTGTACCAAATACTAACTATTTTATTATATAATATACACTATATACGTACATATACTACATATATACAAATATATATTACTATACTTATACTATCATTATTAATTAATGATATAATGATTATAAATAACAATATAATAATAATGAATAATAATGAAAAAAAAAACATCTACATATAATACATTTAATCTTTGTTTATATTACGAAATTGTATGTTAATTTTTGTTCTTTAAAAATTATAAAATAAATCAGAATGAATTTCATTTAAATATGCACAAAAATTTATTTTGAAAAAAATAAGAAATATCTATTAAATAAAAATTAATGAATAATGATGATTAATTTTTATTAATTCGTTTTTCGTAATTTTTATTTTATTCAGTTTAATTTTTAAAAATGATTCATGTATAATATATATTTAATATATATATATATATATAATAAAAATATATTCTCTATATTAAAAATATAGAAAACATATGAAAGTCAATTTTTGCTCTTTTTTATATAATAATAATTTTTTAATAAATTGATCAACTTAATTATATGGATAGTGTGAAAATATTTGTATAATTGAAAAATTAAAGTTGAATAAACCAAGTATGGATACAAGAAAAATTATTTTTTGAAATTCATCATATGTGTACTTTAATAAAAATAAATAAAAAATTCAATTTTTAAAATTTAATTTTTGATTCATCATTAAATTTATTTAATTTGTATAATAAATAATTTCTGCATAATTTTTTAATTCAATTTTTAAAATTAATTTTTCATCATTAAATTTATATAATTTATACAATAAATAATTTCTGCATAATTTTTTAAAAATCTTTTATGATATTTATATAAATGTATTTTTATCTATATAAATGTAATTTATATATTTTTTTTAAAAACAAAATATTTTTGATTATTTTTTATTCTATTATATATGTTTCCTGTTTATTTTATATTATTACTTACATTATCACTTTGGACTTCAGCGAGTAATATTCGTTGTCTTGATACGAAATTAGTATTATCCAATATCAAAGGATTAAATTTTTGTAAAAGTTTTTGATCTGTAACAAATAATTATTTTTAAAGATATTATACAGTTACAATCAATCTCAAACAATCAAACGAATACTTATAATAATATATTATAATTAATATATAATATAATATATAATACTAATATATATATAATTAATATATAATACTAATAAATAAGTATTTTTATACTTTTTAGTTAAAGAAAAATATTGCAAAATATATACAACTATTGACAAGAGTATTAACTAAGACAATTAATGAAAAATTATATTTGATAAAAATTTATAATATCAAATATTTAAAATAATTGCCAATTGTAATAAATGTAATAATATTACAATAAATAATCTTAAAAATGCAAAGCTAATAATCAAAGAAACAGTAAATAGTAAAAAATTTAAATACAATGAAAAATCACACATTTTCAAAAAAGTAATAATTATAAAATAATGGTTAAAATAATGAATAAAAAAAATACATGAAGTAAAGAATAATAAAATATAAAAATAAAATATAGTAATAACTATGAAAGATATTTTAATTTTTATACTTCATTTATTGAAAAAATAAATTCAAATAATCAAATTATATCTTGTACTATTAAATCAACTTCTATTTACATCATACTTCTATTTCGATTTTATTATTAATAATACTATAGGTAACTTACAAGAGTCTCAATTGTAAGAATCTTGATCATTGTATGAAAATCTTATTCATTTATGATGATAATATGTTAATACGAATATATTGCAAATAAAATACAAATGATAATCTATATCATTAATCTTCATCTAATCTAATCATTATTTCTAATAAAAATATATAAATCCAGATATCTCTAATTGATTTATTATGCAGATTTATTATATTTATTGTTAAGTTAATTATTTACATGCATTTTCAGTTTTATAAAATAATGGAGATTCTACTACATATAAAAATAAATATTATAAAAATTATTGTTAATCTGATAAAAATTATGAAATAAAAAAATAAATAAATAATATGATTAAACACGATACAGAGTGACTACAACTTAAAATTACAATCTGAAAATAATAATAAGAATATTTCTAATAAAGGTAAAATAAAAAACAACAAGAAAAAGAACTATTTTCATTATTATGAAACAGAATATTCATAATAAAATTTATAATAAGCAAGTATAAAAAATTTATTTCATATCGTACATTTATGTTCGCATATGAAAATATTTGAGAAAAATATTAAAATTAATAATATATATGATAATATATAATAATAACGATAATGATAATGATAATGATAACAATGATAATGATAATGATAATGATAATGATAATGATGATAATAATAATAATAATAATAATAATAATAATATCAAATAATATATAGTTGAAAATAATTTAAAAAATTAGTAGTTTAAAATAATGTGAACAAAATAAAGAGAAAAAATTCTACAAGATGTAATTTGAGTAATTATTATTTTTAATCTAATAAATAGATTAGATAGTTTTTTCGACAAAATAAAAAAAAATACAAAAACAAAAATACAGATAGAATCTTAAAAAATTAAAAAAAAAACAAAATAATAATAGAAATCAAAAATACCTAATTATGTATTTAATGTGATCATCAAAGAAATCTAAATTATAAAAAATTAAAAACAATAAGTCTTTTAATATTAATTTTATTAGTAAGAAATTCTAAAAACAATTATCATAATTAATATAATTAATTAAAATAATATTCAATATAGTTCTAGAACACAATAGAATACAATAATTTTCTATATAGAATTAGAATGTTTCCTAAATCCGTAAAAATCTGGATAAAACTACATTTTACAAACGAATGTAATTTTATTATTTTCAGAAAATTAGTGGAAATAATATATAATTATCTTAAATCTATATTTTAAAAAAAAGAAAATTAATATTAATATATTAGTTTTTAATTATTTTAAATCTATACTTAAAAAAGGAAAATTAATATATTAATTTCGATCAAAAACAAATGATTCGTTATAAAATAAAGTTGTAGATTTGTTAATAAAATATTAATTACAATGAAAAAGAAGACTTTTTATATAGAGAAAACAAAAAATATTTCAAAAAAGTTTTCATAAACAATTGAAATATGTTTTAGACAAATATGCAATCTAATTATTTAATTTAAATAATAGAATAAGTTGGAAAAATTAAAGATAAAACATTCTGAAATCAATCAAATATAATGAATACATATAAATATATATGTATATAATATATTTATGTAATATATTTCATATAGCCAATATTTAAACTATCATCAAAAATAAAATATTAAAGTTCGCGGATGATATTATTATATTTAATTATATTGATTTTGTATTATAATATATCAAATTTTAAAAAACATAAATTAATGAAATTTCAAAAAAAAGAAAAAATATATAATATAATAATAAATATTAATTGTGATATATTTTAAAATTTTATAATTTTATTATATTATTTTAATATTATTATTATTATTATATATATATATATATATATATGCTCTATGATTTATAATGCTTATTTTTCATTTTCTTTAGTTTCAACCGTTCAAATTTCTAAAAAATAATTTAAAAAATGACTTAATTATTTTTATATTATTGATTATAAAAATTAAATAATCATACAAATATAAAAAAATGTCTGTATATCTTATGCAATGTTTAAAAAATAATATTATTTTATCAAAAAAAGCAGACAAAAAATCAGTTTTCTTTTAAATGAAGAAATGATGTTTGTATGGTAAATAAAAAAATCTATTTTTATTATAATACAAAATAATTTCTATATTTTATCAAATTTATTTATATATTTAATTTTCAAACTTTTAATTTTTAAATAAGTTTTATACATGAAAAAATAATTACCTTTCGGAATAAGTAATTCTGATTGTACTGTTTTACTAATTGAAGCTTTCCATTGATGAAAATTTCTAGCTATTAAAATACATTTAGTATAAGTTCCTTGTACATCCTTATTAAAATCACATGGTATATAAAGAGGTAAATTTGATTTTTCTTCGCTTTCTAACACAGGATATTTATTTTTTTTTAATGTAGTTAATAATTCTTCATTTAAAATACGTTTTTCAATGAATGGTTGTCTATCTTTTAAGACAAAAGCTCTACTAGAAGTATCTGGTGCTTGACTTTGTATGAGAGTCTCCAATTCTGTAATAATTGTAGATATGGGATGTCTGTGATTAAGAATTATTTCATGCTTTTTTACCGATGGAACTCCAATTTCTAAAGCAAATTGAAACCATTGCGATAATGTTACGCAATAAATACTATGTAATTTTCCATCTTCACCTGTTTCAAATTGATCAATTATTACATCGTGTGTTATTTTTGGTTCAATTTTCATTGAAGTTTGATTTTCTTTAGTTTCAATATATGTCTCTTGAATATTTTTTGTAAATGGTTCTGTTAAAGATGTTGATAAAAATTTATATTCCGTAACTAAATCCCAAATTGCATGTTTAACTGCAGAACATAATTTTTTTTGTAATAAAGATTCAAGATTAACTCGACCTTGTTTCCAAATTTTAAATTCGATTAAAGGTAATAATTCTGTAGAATTTTTATCATGAATTGATGTTGATACAATACTTTTAAAATCTTCTATATTTATTGTTTCAGGAAAATTAATTTTTGAAAATTCGTTTAATTTAGTAGAATCAACATATTCTCCTGTAATTGCTAAAGCAATACAAGCAATACCTTTACTTCCAGTAGAATGACTTTGATTATACAGAAAAATGTCTGATTCAGAAATTCTTTTAATAGATCCTTCGAGTTGTGAATAATCTTGAAAATGATATTCTACTCTGTTATCGGTATATTTTGGTATATATAAAAACTGAAGAATATTTTGACGCAAATAAAATTCTAAAGCAGTTATATATAATAAACAATGTTTTTGTACATTTAACCGTATAATAGACTCTGGAGGCTTTGGTGGCTGAATAAAATGCACATCAGCAGGTGTTAATTTACACATTGGATTTCTTGCTAACATGATAGATAAAACTTCTAAAACTGCGTCATCTAAACGATTTTGCAAAACTTGTACCAAATCACGTTTAACTTCCGGTCCCGCGTCAGAGATTCCATGTACCATTAAGATGATTGAATCTTCAGTTTTATTTAAAACATTTGATTCTTTCTCACTAAAAGATCGAACTCTAGGCCTTGTGTCATTTGATGTGGAATTATCATTTAACTTAACTTGTGATAATGAAACTACACTATTGCTTCGAGAAACAACAAGTTGTTCATCGCTTTCCGATAATTTATTTTGTAAAGTTTTTCCATCGCTAATTTGTTCATGTAATCTTAAGTAAAACACATTTTTATTATTCTCTTGATATACAAACATGTTATTTCTATTACTAACAGCAAATCTATTAAGTACTCCGTGTAGAGCTTTTATACCACGAGAAAGTCCTGATCTCCCTGGACCAGTTTTTAATCGAGGGTGCAGCTGAAAGGTAAATTTCCAGACAACACGACATCGAAACATTCCCGGTGTAAAATTTTGCGTTGAATCTCTATTTTGTACAACATTGCTAAATTCATTTATCGTCTCTGATTTCCAATTATAATCTTCATTTGATTCTGTTTCTAAAAGTTCTGAACATTTGCTTGTTTTGTGAAGATTTTGTAGAAGTAAATATTGATTCACTCGACGACAAATACTTTTTATTTGAGAAACTAACATTTTTTGAGTATGCCAATAACTATTTACTTCTGGCGATATTATTTCTAAAAATCTATGGAACAATGATAATTTTAATATATGATAAAATATGCAATATATTTTTTAAGATGCTTTAACGCTTAAGTTTTATCAATAATATAATAAAAGAAAAGTAATAAATTGTAATAATTTTAAATATAAATAATAATTTAGAATAATTTTAGCAATTTTTTAAATTGAATATCAGAATCTATAAGTTTCAATAAATTAAATTTTATTATCAAAAAAAGTTTTATATTTGCAAAATATACATTATTTATGATATATATTTTTTAAATTTTTAATAAAATATAAGATGGGATGTTTAAATTGCAATACTATAAAATTAAACAATTAAATAATATAAATAAAATTTAAACAATTAGTGCATCTTAAAATATATTAAAAAATATTAAGATTTATTATTTAATTAATGATTAGTACTTACCTACAATGAAAGTACACATTTACATAATCATTTTCAACATTTAAAATTAACCAAAAATTAGGTAGAGCACTTTTACGGTTATCAAGATCTATTAACCATTGAAATTTATTTTCAGATATAATATTCCTTTTACATTCATTCTCAGTGTTTTCTCTCTCATGTGTTAAATTATTAGAATAAGATTCTTTGGATTTAAATTCTGCATTGAGATTATTTTTTGTACAATTGTTTATGTTTTCTTGTAACTTTTCTATTTCTAGGTTTTCTATTACACTATCTAAAAAATATTAAAATTTATAAGTTTTATAAGTTATAATTATTCATTTTAATTATTATTAGTTATGTCGTAAAAATTGTTTTTTTATAAAAAATACATACTATCTTTTATTTTTGATTCTTTTCTTCCATTCCTAAATTGTTCAGAAACGATATCAGTCGATACCTGTTCCATGTCCTTTATGAAATAAAATAAATTTCCTTCTTGACGAATACAATATTTATCAATTTGAAGTTTTTTTAATTCACTTATAAATTTAGGTTTACTATCGTCTGATGAAAATACAAAATATAAAGGAACTTTTTCTACTTTACAGCTAAATCTGTCTGTTGATTCCGAAACATGATTTGCAACGAAATTTAAAATATTCTCATTTATAAAAGGATGATCTAGGAGTGCAGTTGTAGTTTCATCTTGTAAAAGCCATTCAATTTCATCTTTTAAATTGGTTATAGCATTATGTTGACTCAAAGGTAAATGCGACATTTTTTCTTGAAATGATTCATTTCTAGCATTATTTTCTAAACTACATCCACTTTCTGTTCGCAAACTACCTATAGGTGAACCACTACAAAAAGATGTTGCTCTTAAACCAGAATATCGTTCTAAATTTATTTCCAATACTTCTCTTGGAAGATTTAGGCATATGATATCCAAAGTAATTTTTAAATCAGGTAGACTTAAATTAGCTATATTTTCTTCTTTATAATCTTCCATCTTTTGTACAATTTCCATAAAACATGTTGGTAAAGATTTTACGGGAATACTGCTAAAACCAGATCTAGTTTGAAATCGAATAGAGCAACTTAACTGCAGAAACAAAGGTTGGTCTCTTTCGTAAATAGTTTTTTGTTGTAAATCACTATTAACAGATTCCACGGAGTCATGCCTTGAAATTTTCGAAATGTTGTTGATATTTCTGACTGGCCATGTTGTATTTTCTAAATGTATATAGTGCATTATTATACATATATTATATTTTTTATTAGATATGTTAAAAATTATACTAAGAAAATATTTTTTTACATTATAAGTTCATTAAATTACTATTTTTATTATTAAGAAAAAATTTGCATTATTTAATGAAAAAAATATTGTATATTTGTATTTATTTATTTTTCGAATAAAATAATTAGATATCTATTAGATAATTAGATAGATTATAGTAATTTTATGATGGTTAAAACTCATTTTTATTTGAATTTTTCTAAAATATTACTTTAAATTTACCTTTTCTATTAAAATTTCGTGATGTATCAATATTTATTGAATGAAACATAAGATTTTGTATTTCATCATCACTATCCGATTTTTGAAATTCTGCAATATCCTATAAAAATATAATTTGTTTATTTATTAAATTTATATTATTTTATCAATTGAATAATAGATATATTAAAAACAAACCGTTTCATTCTCTGACCAAGATGGCCAACAAAAATAAAATTCTGGATGTGCCGGTACAGGTCTAAAGGCAACTGTAATTATCTTTTCAAACTTTTCCTTGATTAAATTATGCAATGGTATAACTTCATCACATGCCAAAGAATTTATTTCGTCTAATAAGTTTTTGTCCGACAATTTGCTTAAATGCCTACATACAGATCGCAAATAATTTGTTATATTAATCTCAATTAAAGTTTCTTCGCATTGTTCTACTGCTGCTTCCATATCATCATATGTAAGAGATTGTTGCAACACCAATGATTTATAAACTGCGACCACATAACAATGACAGTGAGCCAAACTTAATAACTTACAATGCTCCATAAGGCTTCGTTGATCTATTATAAAAATAATTATCATTTTTAATTATTTATATCAAATTAATAAATATTTACATCTATTATGTATATTAACATTCTATCTCTTTTTAAAATGTTCTATGCATTTTGAAACATAAAATAATATTTCTAGGATATTTGAATTATATATATATTTTTTATTATCCTTTTTTAAATAAATAAATTAATTAAATAAATTAAATAAATTAAATCTCTAAGATTCATATAAGCTCTTTAATTTTAAAAAATAATAAAATTTTAAATATTGCAATTCATTTCGAAAAATGAAAAATAAAATGGAATATTTTAATTTAGACAGATATATATTAGATTAGCGAATAAAAAATGAAGATTAATAAATTTTTGTTTCTTATTTGATAAATTTCGAAGAAATATTTTATTATGATGCTTTATCACATGATTAATAACAAATAATTCTTAATTGAATCAATTGTAAGCATTATTCATATTTCAGAAAAAGAGTTTTTTTATAATATATTTTTAATAACATTTATTATATTCATCAGATGTTTCATTTGATTTTTGTTTATTTTGTATAAAATTGTCTTAATGAAAAATTGTTTAAAAACATCAAAAAAATTCGACATACTCGAAAATATTCGAAATACTTAATATTCGAATTTATCTCATTGTAAATAAAATTATTAATGATAAAAAATATAGAATTAAATTTTTATATTAAAGTTAAATTTTTGAAATACTAAATAATATATATATATAATATTAATATTCTTATGTATTCATATTTGGAAAATTGATTCTAAAAGCCAAAATAAATATAAAAATTAGTATAGCATAGCATAAAAATATCGATTGAAGCTTTATTAAATTATAAGCAATTTTACTTTGCATTAAATGAAGCGAAGTATAACGGTAATGAAATGAAGGTTTCACTTTTTTTTCGTCTAATTTCATCTAAAAATTTCAATTACATATAACTTAATAAATTAAGTTTTAATCAATTTATATTAACTTATATATTAATTTTTATGTTTGTTTTGGCCACGAATATATTAACACTCTGTACATTATAATTATTTTAAGATACGAATATCGAAATTATTATATACATATTTTTTTAACAAGATTTCATTTTGAGAATGAATTTTAAAGATTTTTAAATATTTCGTCTATTTTTTTTTTTAAATATAACTTTGTAATAACTTCTAATATAACTTTATATGAAATAAAGTAAAGTACTTTAAATATATATAATGTATAAAGTATTTTAAATATTTTAATATTCTATCACCATATCAAAAAATATCAAAATTGTATTCAAAAACAAGAAAAAAATGAGAATAACTTTGAGAATGAATTTTTTAAAGAAATTTTCATGTTCATACACACAAATTTTCAAATTAAGATTAAGATTTTTGAATTAAATAAATTATTCTTACTTATATAAAATAATATTAGTTTTATGAATTATTTGTTTTTTAATATTAGTCAATAAAAAATTAGTTATTTGTATTTAATATTCTTATAATACATTTAAACAAATAGATGTATAACTTAATACGTACAATAAAAATTATTGATTAACATCTAATATAATTATATGTGAAAAATCAGCAATAAAAAATCTTTTTTTTTTAACTAAATGTTATTGTATGAAAAAATAATATTTTATCAAATCAATATTGTCTATATTTTTACTTACCACTTGAAGTATTATCAGAATCTTCGCTCTTTGGTTCTGGGGTTGAAGGTTTCGAATTATAATCAGATTTCAATTCAACAAAATCTTTACAGATTTGTTGACCAACTCTGAACGTATGATTTTGATAAATGTCCTTATTATGAGATATCTTTAATTTATCGACCAATGTATCAATTAACAAAGCCAACGAACAATCATATATGTAAACTGGAATAACGAGAGATTCTTCAGAATCATGAAATTTTTTTTGTGCATCTGTGTTTGAGATATTGTTTTCGATGCACTGATCATGTAATTTCGATTCATTATTTTGTGAACAATCAGTTGTATTAATGTCCATTGTGGAAACTTTCGAGCACATAGTATTTTCGCATAAATCCATATTAAATATAACAGATTCACAATTTTGTTCTAAATTGCTTTCTAAATGTTCTTCATTGTGTAAAGGAGATATGAATAAACGCACGTCTTTTTCTGATGCAGGTAAAATAGTGATAATTACATGAGTTGTGCTAATTCCTTTGATAAAACATTTCCAACGTGGATAAGCATTAGAATCAATATTCGAAGAAAGTTTATCTGGGAACAGTTTTAAAATTAAAACGTAAATTTTAATAATAAGTATTTATATGAAAATTATTACGTAAAGAAAAATTTTACGTAATTTAGTTTACGTAAATACCTTTTTGAGAAAAAAATGGTAAAACAGGACCACCAATTCTACGTCTATCAAGAAGCATTTTTGTGAATCTTTGTGATTCAGCTGAAGTTAATAAAAGTTCTTTATTGTGTAATTGTTTCATATGTTCTAAAAAATTGTCCATTAGTATCTTGTTTGCACTTCTTTTCTCTTTGTCATTGTCAATCGTATCTTGAAATAAATTTAATATATTTAACTAAATTTAATACATACATATATAAATATATACAATACAATATAAAGAAATTTCAGTGATTATTCTAAATAAAATTTTTACCATCAGCAAACATTGAAAATAAAAGTTCAGCTTGTTGACATTTTGGCAATATATTCAATGTATCAAAAGAAAAATGCATCATATATATCCTTTCATCAATAGTTGGTAGACCTTCACATGATTCTTCAACAATGCTATTGTTAGTCTTGATATTTTTGTTAAATTTTTTTGATAGTTTAACATCATGATGAGGTACTTGTCCATAAATAATCCCAGTACTTTTTTCATTTGGTATTATTTGACTTAGTAAACTCAAATATTCCAAAGTTAATAAAGAATTGATGCATTCTTCGTCTATACGAGTAATCTAATATCGAAATATAATATTGTTAGTAAAAAAGAACATAATTCAATATATAAATTTCATAAAATTTCAAAATTTTTGGAATTAAATTATATTCTATGATACGTATTATATTTAAATAATAATATTATATAAAATCAAAAAAGATATTAAAAGAGATTTATATATTGACTAATTACAATTAAAATATTATATATTATAAATAATACTTATTAAAAATGCGTGTTGTATATATTAAATGTTATATATGAAATTTTTATAAAAAATATTAAGTAAACAAAAAAAATTGATATTGTTTACATAAATATAAATATGAAATTAATATAAAACAGAGAAAAATAATAAAAGCGCATAATATACAGCATATTTTGTTACGATATATATATTTTAATTTAAAATTGAAAGACAAAAAAGATAGAAATTTATTTAAAATACAATTCACCATTCAAATCTTAATTTTTGAGATATATACAAAAATATTTTATATTTTATATTTATGGTAAAGAGATTTATAATAGATTTGAATTAGACTTTTATTATATTTGAATACAGAATAAATTAATGATTAAATTAAATTTTGATTTTTAAAAAATGGAAAATACAATTATGAAAAATCACTCCATCAAAAATTTTACTAATAATTTATTATTCTAAATTATTTATATTATAAAACCTGAAATATAAAAAATAATATAACAAATATATATATTGTCAAACTTGTCAAAATCAATATTTTAAATTATTGGAATACATTATATATATATAT